CCTTTCACCCGAATATCGAGGCACCTCCCACCCGAATAGGGTGCGGTACATGCTGCCGCTTAGAGAATTGATCATAGCACTGAGTCGGTATGAGAGGCACCTCCCACTCGAATAGGGTGTGGTACAAGCTATCGCTCAGTGCTCACGAGTTAAAACATGTTCGAATACAAGTGCAAGCCAGAAACATTCATGTAACAAGTATCATTTAATCAAGAGAGAAAGAGAGGATGAGGGCAGTAAAGTACATCCTCGCCTCGGCAAGTTTACGAATCATATAGCACTTGTACCAAATATCATTTCAATCATAGTAACATTGAACATACACTTGACACTCATCAAAAGTTAAGGGCAAGGCAATAACAAAAGCAAGAGGTCAGACAAGCTCTTCGGCGTTCATGAGACCACATGAGGAATGCAAAATCACTATTACCTAGGTACTCGACCAAGGCTAATAACAAAAATGTCCTTTTGCTACCCACGCTCAAAAACCACATGTTCAAGTCGAAGTAAAAGAGACTTTCTCTCTTAATCATTGAAATAATACAAAAGGAGAACTCAAAAGTCGCTTTCGAGTCAAGTCGTGGAAAGAAATCTCAATTCCAAAGAGGAAAGTAACATACTTAATTTTGGCACGAAAGTCGAGAAAAGGAAACATGGTTTTCATATTTCAAAACTTCTAATCCTATGCCCGAGTTTTAGAATATAAAGGAGCGTTCACGTTTTCGAAACTTATGGAGTCAAACTCCGTTAAAACACTACTCATTTTCATAGTAAATGTTGAAGTTAAAGTTCCAAGTTTACAATATGAAGCTTGTGAAATCCTTCAAGAAGTACTCTAGATAAAGTGCTCCATTTTATGGTTCATTTTCATGAAAACCAAGGGCATAAGACTAGGAGTTGAAATCCATTTCCCAAGTATGAAATAAGATGTAAATAACCAAGAAAGTTGTGCTTGTAACCTAGAAAATGTTTCCAATTGACTTTGGAGTTCTGTCATTTCCCAAGGAAAAATTTGGTTTTGACAACCTTCTTTTGAAAATCATAACTTGAATTCCATAACTCCAAAATTTTCAAATCGTATATTGTTGGAAAATAGACTTGATGAACTAAAACTCTCTAGAAGGCACTTTTCCAGATTCAAATCCGAAATTAGTCAAATCGTAGCTCCAAATCACTGTTCTAGTCAGAACAGAGCAAAACAATCTTGCATTTTCAGTAAACTTTGGAAATTTGGTAAAATTCATAGAAATAGAATCAGCCCTTGAAATTTATACCACTAAAATGCCTCCAAGTCTAGTTTCAAACACAACAAATGAACTCAATTTGAACCTTCCTACACCAAGATACAATAGTTTTAGGAAAGCTGATTTTTAGGACCTGGTTCACGGAATTTCAGCTTTGGAGCACTTGACACAGTTTGTAAATTAGGTCATAACTAAAGCTACACAAATCAAAATTTTGTATGGTTTGTGGCATTGAAAACTAGATTCAAAATTCTAAAATTCACTAGAAGAAACTATCTTAAAATTCATTTTGTAGGATGAGTGAAAATGAGCTACAAATTGCAACTATGCTTGTTTCTCGGATTGAAACAGTGAGGAAAATCAGTCAATTTTGCCGGTTCACTATGGCTCATAGAAAACGAAATAGTAGATGCATTTTATACCGTTGGAAAGCTCTCAGAGTCTAGTTTCTTATACCACAAACAACACTTGATTTTGACTCCTGGACGAAAAGTTATGGCCTATTAAGTGCACGCTGGTTTGGTATCTTGATCAGAAATTTTCCAGGTTTGCTTCCTCACTTTAATCCAACTTTAATTCAACCAAATGAAATGCTTTTTGGGAGATAATTTACACACATAAACACCAACACATAACAAGCATTTTGGTATCAAAATAACCATAAAATTCGAAATTAAAATGAAGGAAATAACCAGCATAATTTCAGACAGCATTCTCCCTTTTCTCTTCAACTTTTCTTTTCAACTTTCTCAACCAAAACCAAGTTACCATGAATCACCAAAACAACAACTAAACAAGGAATTCCTCAAGGCCACTACCTAAGAAGCCACCTCAAGACATCTACCTAGAGTCAAGGTTCATTGAACCCATCAACAACCCAAGCTTAACTTAGTTAAAACTAACTGAACTAACCATAAGTTGGAAGGAAAAATGAGGGTTTTGGAGTGTTACCTTTCTTCCAAGTGTGGGGTGCAAGACTACAAGGAAACAAGCTCTAAACCACCAAGCATCTTCCTCATCCAAGTCTCCTTTCAAGCTTGAGTGATGATCCAAGAAGATGAGCAAGATTGGAGTGAGTTTTTGGAGCAAAAATGGAAGAAGATGAAGCTGAAATTTTGGTAAGAAATGAGAAGGGATGGCCGGCCAAGAGGGGAGGGAAAAGAAAGGGTTTGGTAGCTTTTTGTGTGATGTGAGTTGATGAGAAAGATGACATGACATAAAGGTATCTTTGGTGCAAAAGTCAACAAATGAATAGTGGGACATTAGTGCTCCTAATTGAGCTTAATTCAATTCATTCACTTCTAATCTGTCAATTAACTTTTTTTAATCTGCTATTGATCACTCTTAATTCTTCAAGACCACTGCACTCTCGGACCGAATTTTGCCTAGAAAAATGTGTTTTCACTATTTCTCACTAAACGAGCAACAGAAAAATTAACTTTAAAAATAAATGTGTTAAAATATAAATTGAGGTAATGTACAATGTAATTGTAATTAAAATGGATGAAATAAATTAATTGGAGCAAATGAATAAATAAATAATTAAAAAAGTCAGTAAAATAAATACAACTAAGTAAAATAAAAATTCGGGTCCTCACATATAAACTTTAAAAAAACTATGAAATTGCCTAAAAATTGTGCTTAATTATTATATATTCTTACAATTGCTTATAAAGTTTGTCCAATTTTAGAAAAATTTCTTTTTTTTTAATATATCATACCCTGAGAATTTGGTATATTTTTTAAACTACTTATAATTTCATAAATAACAAAAAAATCTAATTCCAGTTGTGTTATTAGATGACGTTTGTTTTCAAATAACTATGTCTTTAGTAAAAGATAAAAATTAATAAAATTAAATAAACATACCCAAATGAGATCCAAAAGATATTACCAAACACACATATCATTACGACTCTTCTCTTTCCCCTCTCTGCCATTTCTCTTACCTTGTAATTGCATTCTTTTTGCTGCTCTCCCTTTCTTTTCACTACACTTCCCTTATCTCCAGTCTCACCTCTTATACCACAAGAATGACTTGTACACTTGCAGTGAATGAGGGATTTAATACAAAATTTAGAGCGTGGGATTGGACCTCATGATTGACGCGTTTTGTTCATTGCTTGCTTTTACTCTTTTACTTTTCTTGAACTTGTGTAGTTTCATTTTCAAATTTTATTTTTTTAAGCTTTTGGTACTAATGGATATTTAATTGAACTACGACGCTTTCATGCTTGATATCTCTATAGCTTTAGTAGAATGAAGATCAATGGTTCTTGAATATCATGCTCGTGAACCATCAATCACTTTATAGGTGAGTAGTACTTTCTACATCTCATTTTTTTATACATTGGGAACAATGTGTGTTTTAAATGTGGGGGGAAGGGGAGGGAGAAATTGAGATTATAGGAGAAGTTACTACACATAATATGCACAGATAGATAGGTATAGAATTTGATAAACATAATAAGTTAAAGGGTATAATTAATTATATACAGAATATTGAGCTTTTCTCCTTCTCTTTTACTGTTTTTTTCTCTTCCTTGATCTGTCTTAAAATTCTTTTCTACAACCCATGGTGCAAAATCTAGATGAATTAAGGTCAGGTTAGCACATTAGTGGTCTCCGGTGCAAAAGACAAGAAAAAAAATCACATTTTTTAGCACAAATGTTTGGATTGGCTGGTGAATGACGATTTTTGCAAGTGTACAAAATCATTCCCAGTAATAAATAGGCTAGAGCATTCCAGGGGTCGAGCTAACATGGACGAGTTAATTTTTTCTATTTTAATTATTATTCAAAAAAATAAAAGACAAACTCAAGAAATTTGTTATTCACTAACTAAGAATAAATTGAATAGTCAAGTCACAGAAAATAGATCGGACAAAAGCAATCGGTAAGAAACTAGGATTTGTTGAATTTTATTCCAAAACTTGAATTAATTATCCAATTATTTTCCTAATATATCAAGAACTTATTACATAAAACGACCTTAGATTATCTCCCAATATGTCTAAATCGTACTCAATCAAATCTCATATCTCTTTGGACATCACAAGTATTCAACTGAATCCTTTAGAAATTTAAGTGATTTGGATTACGGTGTACACACAAACCAGGTTCGAGTAGGATTCCCGATGACGTCACGTCAGGCCCAAAGTTCGGACCTAGACATGGTTCAAAACAGAATTTGCGAAGGCATCCGGTGCCATATTCACTGAGACAACTCCTCATTGTCATTTCCTTCCCGCCAAGTACGGCGACGGACTTCCTTCAATCTGTCAATCCGGTGCCCTTACCACTAGATACTCACAATTTAAAAGGTTAATTTAGCAGCTAGATACTCACAGGTCAAAATGTTATACTGTGTGCGTGAAATATGACAAGTGCTTATAAAAGATCAATTAATTTTCACAACGAAAATTTGAAGCCATGAATTGTTCTTTTATGCAAATATTTTTCTTGCATTCATAATGTATATATTAGTGATTTTTTGTGCACAACGTACATGAAGGATTTTTTTCTTTTGATGTTTATAAGAAGGATTTAGAATTTACATTTGACTAAGTAATTGTTGATCTGCACCAAAAATTAATTTTGTTGCAGGCTTGACATATACTAGTAGAATAATGTATATTCTAGCCTTCCCTGTTCCTTCCATGCAAGAAATTCGAGTTCGCTATGTATGTTTGTTTTTGTTTCAGAGAGTGAAATTTCTGAATTTTTACGGTTGAATTTTGTTTGTTTTTGTTTCAGAGAGTGTCTGATGCTGAATGGTAACTATTCTTCAAACTAAGTAATTAGAATGCGAATAAGTACTGTTTGGCACATGTTGAATTTGGCACCTACGATGAACTCTTCTATAAATGGTCCATCATTCGGCAGCCAAAATCACCACTGCAAAACAACTCAAAAAAATATTCAACATGGCTGCTAGTTTACGACCCCTCTTCTTAGCAATAATACCCCTGCTGATGATTTCATCCTTGATCAGGTCCTCAGAATGCCAAGGACTTGGGTTCTACTGGGCAAGTCCTGAGGATGGAAACCTGGCTGACATATGCAACGATCATACCAATGGTAGCTATGAATACGTGGCTATCGCCTGCCTAAATTTCGAGGGTAACCAAAAGAGCATCCCGCCTTACTGCACCTCCCTAGGTCCTGACATAGATATCTGCAAGGGCCTAGGCATCAAAGTATTTCTTTCCCTTGGTGGGAGGCCTGTACTTTCCCCTGATGATGCTCCGATTGTTGCAGCTTATATCTGTGACGAATTTTTGAATGATAGTTCAGGCCCTGGTCCTCTCGGTGCTACTGTAAATGGAACAGACTTCCATTTCGGAAGCGGAGCAAACAATAGTCTGGATGTTCTCGCCCAGGCACTCCGGGATAATTGCATACTTGACGACAAAAAGGTGTACTTATCTGCAGCACCACTTTGTAAAATTCCTGACTATTATCTTGACGCTGCTATCAACACTGGCGTCTTTGACTACGTGTGGGTGCAATTTTTCGGTGATCCTTCATGTGAATTCGTTCCAGGCGAGGTCTATCTTATCGCGCTTGCATGGTATTCTCATCTAGGCAAATATAATACTACATTATTCCTGGGATTAACTGGAGATTCTGCCGCCGAGGGTTTCATCCCATGTCCGAAACTTCGGGTGATTCTTTCCTGGCTGGAGAGGTTTCCCAAATTTGGAGGGATCATGATGCTTGAGGGCAAATACTATTGCCCTCCTTCCAGTGAAAAAATCCGGTCTTATGTTAACTCTGGTGTTCTGGCTTATGGTAAAAAGTCCATGAATAAGTTCCAAGCCATCTAATCATGACTAAGTTCCTCTCGTTACCTGCTGAGAGATGAAATGCAATTCTGGTTGTTTGCCAGTTATGTATAACTATGGGTTATGAATTCCCAAAATAAATAAAATGTTGGATGATAAATATTGTGCTTTGCGTTGTCTTGCATGAACAACTCACAAACTACAGTATACTAGTTTGAACAACCATTTAGATTAGTTTCAAAGCGGATGAAATCAGAGCTTGTTAATTTTCTTATTAGACCAATTTTTCAATGGATTAAAGGTAATTTGATGATGATCCTTGCTTTTTCAAAACAAAGCACCTAATATTTATAGGCATGTTACGGTTGACAAAAGACCCAACCGCTAGTCCTAACTAAACGTCCACGAAATTAGGAACCGGCTAAGAACAAGGGCGGAGTTGGCTGGTAACTGCCAGCAACTCCCAGTAACTGCCGTCGACAGTTATCAACTTGTCCAACGTTCACCTTTGGCGCGCACAAGCAACCGCTGCACCATTCGGCGCGCTCCGTTTCCCACCATCGCAACGTTCCGCGCCCAGCTTGCCCCAACACTTGGCAATCTTAGGCACCGTGGTTCCTAACCCTTGGAACCACCCAAAACATCCTACCGAGCCATAGTCAATCCGTGGCCTTGGCCCCTAGCCCTTGGCCATGACTTGACTTAGTTACAGTTATCCCTCTATATAGATGTCTTAAGGGAAAACTTCCAACTGTTAGTAGAGGCACCCCTCTGTCCCCAACTAACCTAGAGGCCTCCGATGCCTCTAGAACTTTCCCCAACCCATACTTAGGCTAGGAAAACATCATCAAACATGGGTCCACTCGTTTCCAACAAGCTTCACCTTCGGCCTTCCACCTAGGCCATGGCTTGGCCGAACTTGGCCACGGCCGCGCGCGTTCCGTCTGGACCGCGCCCTAAGGGACTAACATAGATTATTACTCGTTTGATTCTAATTGAATAGTATTAATTTTGTTTTAGGGTTGTTATCACTTTACCCCCTTAACGTTTGGCGTCACTATCAATTTTCTTCTTAACGTTATTTTTTAGTCATTTTATCCTCAAAACTAACGATCAAACTTAAAGAAATTTATTAATTCCAGTGATAAGACATGTTTATTTTTAAAAATTATTATCACTTTACCACCATAAACTATAACCTTGTTATCAATTTACCCCCTAGAGTTATTTTTTAGGCAATTTATTCTACCATTAAACCAACTTACTAAGTTAAAAAACTTTAGAAGATAGTACTCTCTTTTTTGTATAATAAAAACAATAAAAAATAAGAGTGGCTCTTCTCATTTTTAGTATCAAGAAAAAAAAAGTCAAAACATTAATCTCTTTCTTCTTGACAATCTTATTAACATTGGAAAAAATAGAAAAATATGGGAGGGAGAGAGAGAGCTCAATTCTTTGTATTTTAATACAAACAAGAAAAAATTCAATGTTTTTATTATTTTAAAACTACTTTACTTTTCTATTTATTACCTAATTCCAATCATAATCCCAAGGATATTAACGTAATACAATAATATTATATTTTTTCTTATTTTCTTTCTTTGCAAAATCTAATTTTTTGTCTCCTTCTGTCCTATTTCCTTTTCTTTTCCAAGTATTAATAAGTCTGAAAAAATTTGAGAAAACCCTTTTATTTTTATTTTTTTGGAATCTTAGAATGAAAAAAAGGAAGAATAATTATTCCAAATTTTTATTTTAATTATATTTTAAAAAAGGTAAATACATTTAAACATTTTTTAACATACTTTTTAGATAAAGGATAAGTAAAATATCTAGAAGAGAGTAAAGTGATTATATCACTATAATTTAAAGGAATAAAGTAATAATAACAATGTAGTAATGCTATAAAATAAAAGAGTATTTTTGTAAAAAATTTACTAACATGCTGAGTTGAATTACCTATGGGGTGAAGTGACTAAAAGATAACATTAAGGGGTAAATTGATAATAATGATATAGTTTAAAAGGGTAAAGTGATAATAACCCTTTTGTTTTATGTGTTGTCGAGATTTTTTTATTTTTATAAAAGATCATAAATTCATTAAAATCTGCACTAATGACACAAGTTAGATATCAAAGAATAGGTTTGAAGAATAGATACTACATATCTTAAGAATAGAAGAATAAATAAAAATTACATTATGAAGCTTCAAATTTAAAAAAATGAGATAAACTTTTTTCGGCTCCATGAACATCTGTGTATGCTTCCAACCGTCAAATCTGTTGATTAATTGTTTAAAGTCCAAATATCGTGATAAGATTTGTTGAATAGATCCAAGAAATTGCAGATCTGATAATCAAAATTTGAAAAAACTTAAATCGAGAAATTGTCATTTCTTTCTTTCATCTCTTTCTTCTTCTTCTGTAGTTTTCCTAAGAGATAATTTCAGAAACCTCCCTTGAGGTCTTTGACAACATCTCCTAGCACGCCTAAACTTTAAAAAATATCACTTGCCTCCCTTATTTTCTCGATTTTCGAGATATTGAGACTTTTCGAAACATTGTATTGGTTTGAAACGAACGTACATTCTTCCTTGTTTGGCAGGGAGTTTGTAAGTATTTATGAATGAATGTTAATTGTTATGTCTTCAGGCGCTCAAGAGGATCTTGAAGAGAGTCCCGGAGCCGATCATTAAAGATCTTTTGCACTTACTCCCTTATTTTGATTTGGTGAGTATCAAGTGCATGAATTGTTGCTAAGTACTTGACTTGCTTCTTATCCGTTATGTGAAATTTGGAATTTTAGAGACGACAGTGTACTTTACCGCACTCGTTCTTTTTCAAATGAAATTATATTTGAATTTTGCTATGTGAATCCATATTTGACATGTGCGAAGTAATGTGGATATGATTCGTATTTGTGATTCGTATATGTGATTCGTATTTGTGATTCATATTTGGAATCGTCAATTAGAGCACTACTCTTCGACTTATATTCGTATTCGTATTCGTATTCGGGGGACACCCAAACTCATTGGCTAATTCTGCGAATCGAGCCAGCATGAGCTTAGTCGAGGAGCTTAATAAACCATGAGATATTCGTAAATCTTGATCTATTGGAGAGATCTTGCTTGGCATACTCATGTAGTATTGCCATGATATATTCGAGTAATATCAAAACCTTGATGAGCGGGCCCGGTGAGGGGATGTAACGGTGATGGGATTCGAAAAAAGTGGTATTTCTACGGAGTTGATACTTATGTGGTTGATGGAGTGTCAACATGGAATTTGATCAAGACCTTGACTCGACTACGTGGAATTGAGCTCCTGAGAGCTACAGTATCCTTGAATTGTTTATGCTTACTTTTCCTACTTGAAATGTTAATTACTCGAATTTTACAGCTTCACTTACTGTATAATTGTTGTGGTTACTTAGACTACGTGCTTGCATGTGTGTTTCTTGGTCTCACGAGCATTCGCTCACCCCGTTAGATTTATTTTCCTTAACAGGAGTCGAAATAGAAAGAATTGGAGAAGCCGACTTGAGGCACTTTTGATTAGGGTTTTCGAATGTATTCAAGTAGACACATTTTTTAGGTTGTATTTTTTGGGAAAGTAAGTGTATTTTGAACTTATGATGTAAGATCAAATATTCATGTATGGAAATGACTTCTTGTCTTTATTCTAACTTTCATTGTTAGTATTATACGTTAGGTTTGAACTAGAATTGTACCAAATCCTGACGAGAGTTAGGCAGGCGTCCCACCGATACCCTTGGGTTCACCCTTGGGAAAAGTGGGAGCGTCACAAAAACAACATTTTCATTTTTAATTGTAGTTGTCTAACTACTAAAGGAGTTAGAAAATCACTGATAATTGACAATTATTCTTGTGAGATCGTCACCTAATATACCATATATTCAATAGACAATCTGTGTACTTATAGAAAATGGAGTATTTAGGTTTATAAAATTTGAAACATGAGATTAAACCTTGTCAGCCTTCTAACAGGTTTAGTGTCTTTGGACAAAATCCAAGATGGTAGATTTCTCATCTTCTCCAACCAATGCAACACTACTTTTTGTTGGTATTTTCAAGTGGAACTCTTTCAAAAGTATGTGCACTAGATCAGATGGATAAACAAAATTGACATGTTTAAATTCAAGCTCTCCAGCAACATCTATGTGATCTGCCATTTCACTTCTATTTTATGTTGGAGAAAGTAGTCCAGAACTCAATTCACTATATTTACAGTACCTTAAAAAAGGTTAAAAAGAACAAAAATCAACTAATAGCTTTATCTTTGAAATAAGATGCATGAGATACTCTTCTCTATATGGGATTAATCATCTAAGAGAATTCAAGCCACGATAGCTTCCTTGGATCAATCTTCAAAACTAATATAACTTCCCAATTTTTTTCTGACATAATGGATAACTTGGTCATACCTACAATACATAGGGGACAGACTTGCCTCTTTTTCTAATATATTGTCCTAAGATTATTGCAAGAGTGAAGTATCCTTGTGAGGTACAAAGAAAGCATAGCATAATAAGGACACGTGGGATAAGCTCCATTCCATTCATATATGTGAAGTTTACGCCATGTACCTAGGCTCTTCTTATCCTCTTATAGTTTATCTTTTTAAGTTAAATTATGAAATAACTCTTTTTCCTACAAACTTTATCTTTCTTTTAGGGATTGGTATGGATGAGATGGGATTCAACCAATTTGTATCATCAAGAATTGTTTAATTAATGTTCTAGACAACATAGAATATATATGCTTTTTAAATTTATAGTTATCATGCCACACTTTGTTGATTATGACTTAAGATAGTACGATAAACATTTAGGGATGAAAATTTTGAAAAAAACAAGTTTATTACATATGGATTTATCTTGCTTCTTTAAAGGAAAATACCATATGCGCTTCCTCAATATATCTTTTTAGAATTCTGACCTGTGCTATGTACAGGTTAACATTCAAATCAAAATAGTAAAATTATTTTTGTTAAATAAAAGGTATTTGGAATGAAAAAGCT